GATAGATAGATAGATAGATAGATAGATTCATTCATTCATTCATTCATTCATTCATTCCATTCATTCATTCATTCATTCATTCATTCATTCATTCATGTTTTCTGTTCTTTTCTGTTCTTTTTCTTTTTTCTATCTCCTTTTCTCTCCGTTTTTTTTCTTTTTCACTTTTAGTTTACTATTTTTTCTCTTTCTTTGAATGTATTTCTTATCATATATGTAACATCTTTTAATAAAAACTACTAAAAAAGAAAGATTGGCCAAGTCCAGGAATGCAGGTGGAAGACTGGATATCAGACCCATCCAACAGAATCTAGGTCTATCTTGGCTATACAGTAGTGCTTATCACCCCCAGCCTGGGTCTTCCAAATTAACTACTTAGGACCAGAATTAAGAATTAAGAAATATTAATTAGAACAAGTCAATGCTGCTCATACGGCCATGTTGTCATACTCCATCTCTAGGGGGGCACCTGCTCCAGAGAGTGAGCAGGTTAGTGAGGTTATTCAGGAAGAAGAACCACCTTATCATTTCTTAAATGTGTACCTACAGATCAGGAGTGTCCCCATGGGAGGGATGCTGCAAAAAAGTCAAGATGGCAGCCACAACAGTGCAATCAAAGCCCCACCCTTTAAGAACAAGCCATGGTTGTGGCTGCCATCTTGACCTCTTTGACCTCCCCTCCCTACAGGCCCCCTTGCTACATACTTACTCATCATTCTCATAGGCATCTGCAATGGGAGGGAGCAAAATGTGCATCACGATGTCAGGACGCGACTCCCTAACGGTGGGATCAGCCCCATGACCTCCCCACGTGCCTCTCGTCATTTTGAGAAAATCCCCACGACCATGCTATGCCCATGAAATAAGAGAAGAGAAAGGAAAACGGAGCCCAATCTAGTTTATGCTGAAACCATTCACTGCACCCAGGGCTGTCAAAACATTATGTTCGAAAAGGTCAAGACGGCAGCTATGACAGTGTGATCAAAGTGCCATCCATTTTTTGTGTGTGACATGGAAGGGAGGAAGGAAGGAAGGAAGGAAGGGAGAAAGAGAGAAAGAGTTTTTTGTGTGTGACGCACAAGGAAGGAAGGGAGGGAGGGAGGAGGAAGGGAGAAAGGGAGGAAGGAAGGAAGGAAGCAAGCAAGCAAGCAAGCAAG